ATAGAAAATCTAATCTTCAATGAAGTAATCAACCGCAACTCAACTAAACTACATGGTTGAGGAGAGAACAAAAAAGGTAGAAATCACAAACGCCATAAGTGGCAGACGGACAAACATGCAGAATTCACAATAATCGTTGATAGATAACACACACGAATGAAGAGAAATCTCATGGGTGTCTTAAAAATCTCCTCCTATGTTCTCAAGCTAACTGTAATTTTTTAATTAACGTTCGAACAGCGCTTTCACCACTAACCGCGAATATTTTGAATAAAAGAAAATCAAAGAATTCATTAGTTTTTTTGTCCCTTGATAAAAATCAATATTGAACAAATGAAATAAACCTGCCCATATTACTACTGCTTCCAATGAATTAGCTGTTCTAATAAGATGATTTGAATCTAAACCAATTTTGAAATAAGTAACGGAATCATGACATACTGGTATAGACGGCCAAGGACTTCTTAGACCTTTTGGATCCTTAATGTAAAAATTAAAAATAGTGCATGGGTTATTTCATTACATGCAAGATGTGATATTTTAGTGCTGTAAGAAAATTCGAATTAGTCCACTCGTTTTAAGAACTAGACCTCATAACGGTAAACAAACAATAGTTATTTATATTTCTTTTTAGCATTAGTACAGAAAAGACATTATTCATTATTCTCGATTTTCTCGACAGCCTCTTCTTAATAGCAAGTGAGTTTCCAAAAAAACATGCATCACGCATTTTCTTAGCTGGAGCACGAACTGAAAGCTCTAGAACTGCTGGATTTTCTACGGCAGAAGTCTTTTTGACAGTCTATGCTAAAGAATAAAAGCTCTTGTTCAAAATAGAAGGGTTATTGATTTCTTCTAGACTATTCTCTCCTTTCAAAAAGCTTTCCCTAAGTCCTTTAGAGGAAAACAATATTGGANGGTGAAAGCGCTGTTCGGATCTAAGATGATAAAGTAAAGGTTTGTGTGTTTCATTATAACCTATCGATGATGATGTACATACCACTATCAGTTACTGATATATTTTCTTGCAGTTTGACAGTATAAAAGGTGGTCGTTATTACCATTTGATCGCAATCATCGCCTCGCCTCAGTTTGCGCCGATATACTCATTTTCACAATAACTATTTAATGGACTGTGGATTCTTTTTCTCTGAAGAACAAAAATATGATTTATGTTCTTCAGAAAGCTGGGAAATAAAAATTATATTCTCTGAAGAACACGAATTCGTTTTTTGTTCTTTATAAAAATGTAGAACTAATTTTTTGAAGAACAAAAACCCTACTGAAGAACAAAAAATGTGAAAATAGGCTGAAGAACATATATTCTGTTCTTCAGTTTTCAAAGAACACATTCGTGTTCTTCACCATGTTCTTCAAAGAACGGAAGAACACAGATTTCTAACAGTGTACACATTTATGCACATTCGAGTAGTTTTTTAATAGCAATGTCTACGGAATCAGAGAAAAATGATTAGGAAAAATGTTGCAGGTAGTAACCTTATAATCATAAATAAGTATTTACAATTGGTCCAAATGATTTGCTTGTATGGCTGAAAACATTTATTAATGATGAATGTATTATCATAAAATTCAAAGATAAAGTCATAATTATTTTTCGATCTATTTTCCTTTGAAGGTTAGACAAGTATATTAAATAGCGTTAAAATTTTTCATTATTTTATTAAACCGTTCGATAATGACAACAAATCATTTTAATTATCTGTTCTGCAAAAATCGTGGACAATTCAATTACTTCAAAGATTACTTCAGACATATAACAAGGTATCATCACCATGAAATTGAATTTCACATCACCTGTAACCTATAACATGTGTCATACATAACGTTTTCCGATTATAAAACACATGTTCATCGCCATCATGCTCAATTATTACAGAAAAACAATATGAACTTTTTTCCTAGCAATTACGATGATACCGACGATCAAGTTGTATTTACAATGTCAAATGATGATGATCCTGATGCATTATGTGGAATTGATGATGATTTATGCGGTTCATCTTCGGATCATGAAGATACTGATGTATTTTTACCTACAAGACAGGGACAAAATTACTCTTGATGGTATTCGTATGATACATTTTTGTAGAAGAATTTATCCTGTCACGAAAAGGTATCCACTCAATATCCTCTAACAGCGTTTTACTATTTGATTTTGTAACAGAATTAATTATACAAGAAACCGAAATCAATCAAAATAGAACTGCAACAATCACAAATAACCGAGAGTTTATTTTTGAAGCTTTCGTGTATTGAGAAGTGATGAGGTGAGAAGAGACAAAACTTTTTTCATACATTCATGATTGGAATTTATGAAAGTGGGAGTAGGGACTTAAAAATAGATGACTGTAAATATCAACGGTCACTACGAAGTTACTTTCCTAAAGATAAAATGACACAACACTTGGGTGCAGAAATTCACAAGAGCATAATAGTGCACTAGTTTAGTTTCCTGACGGCTTAAAGCGCTCTTTTTCATGTCTTCATATATAGAGACGACAGACAGATGACAAAAGAACACTTGAAGCATCGGGAAACGGGAACTACATCGAACGAAGAAAGGGTTTCGGAGACATGAAAAACGCTTGCGGAACGGAACACTTTAAAGGTATTTTCGTAAACCTTTATAAATTCGTTCGGTATGGTTTCAGTTTCCTAAGCACTTTAAGCGTTTTTAAAATACGAACCTTTTTTCACAGTGTGATACGCTATTTTTCCACAAGTGATGGAGTTTCACAATATTTTAATTTGAAACGAACAACGGTGACAACAGCAACTTTCTGTCTGCAAACAAGGACCAAATCACAGTAACTTGTGAGAAAACTGATTATTTTGTTGCATGCACATGTTTAGTGTTGTTATAATAAATCGTTGTCTGACACAATATTGTGAGTGAATTAAATAATCATTATTTCGTTTATGATTCACCATATTAAAAATATGAGTAGTCCGTATTGTTCTCCCACGTCGAAAGTCCATAAAAAAAAATTTTCTCAATATTAGTCCGGTGGTTGTCAGAAAATATCACGTCATACTGGTGAGTTATTCCTAGACCTGATTTTGTACTTAAAACTAGTGGAAAATAATCTAATTAAATACTAGATTTTCAATCTCTTGTCGGTCAGTGGATTCAAATTTCTCATGACAACAAAACTAAAGAATATACATGGCGTCGAATATTAGTGGTAGTAAAAAGTCACATGATAGAACCTATGTCAGCGATTTTCAATCTCTTCTCGGTGAATGGATTCAAATTTCTCATGACAACGATAATAATGATAATAAAAATAAAGAATATACTAAATATAGTAATGATTATGTGAATAATCATTATCATAATAACCCTGAAATACACCTTCCTTGTCAGATGTATGTTGTCGATTGTAGTACAATCGATCATAAAATCAAAGGTTGGCTGAAAGAAGATGAGGTCGACTTGAGCAGTGAACAACAACCATGGAATGCGTACTTTGATATATCGGAGTCACATTATGAAACAATGGAACCAACACGGGTTTGTAAGTGGGTGACATTAGAGCGTGAGTAGATAATTGAAGTCATCCATGACAATGCTATATTACCAGAGAAACCGGACTTTTATCGTCTTGCTGGTGACCATTATGTTCATTATGGGAATAATGGATCAAGCGCATTAGTTTATCCAGTATGGATTAATGAACATCTATCAATATCGGAATCACAACGTCAGCGTTTAACACAAGCATTATACACGTTAAATGAACAACGACAAGATTTCCATCAGGAACCATCACTAGTTGAAGATATTATTGATCCTAATCTATTACTTAATTGTCCACCATCATTTAACCGCCAGAAATGGATGGAACAACAACAAGATAGATTGAAAAATGATGAATACAAATTAAGGTATTTTAAACGGAATTTAGCTAATGGTGAATACGATGATTTATCTGAACACGTTAAACTACGTGAAACGTATCACTGGTTTCCATCAGAATTCGTTCTAACAAAGTCAAATGGTAAAGATGATATTTTATCGCCCATACATCATCTTCTAATTCTACCTGAAAACAGGCAAATTTATCGTGATATAGCACCAGTATTTAATAAAATGATACCAATGTTTGAGAAAATGGGTTCAATTCGTTGTAAGCAAGATGAAGATGAAACAAAATTACAAGTTATTGTTAAAGCACAAAGGTATAATATGAAATCAGGTATGTATAGAGCAGCTGTGCTATAAAGCGAAGTTCTGACGAACCCGTGTGAACGTTTTCGTTGAAACAAACGCATGTTTCAGAAATACTAAAAGAAATGCGTTTTGTTTTAAGAGCTGTGTCGGAAATCTACTTTCGACATAAAACACAAGTACGTGACAAAGTTTCTGTATAACGTTAGCCTTACGTACATTAGATTAGGATAAACATTTAAGCTTGAAAACTTGTCAATTACTTAAAAAAGTGGTTCAAACGTAGTATTTCTTACACAGAATTTCTCGTCACAGTTCACTTGCTATTGTCGCTCCGCTTGACTCACCACAACAAAAATCTCTCATCTCAACTTTAAACAACTTTTGAGCCATGGATGTCTCTCTCCTTTTGTCATTGTTTGACCTGATAAATCTTACCAGGTATGCGTCATAGGGTATAATTAGAATATAAAACACCAAAATTTTCCATGGTGTTTTTGTCCTTTATTGTGTGTATGTATGTTGTGTTGTATACATTTTTGTTAAAAGACAATCTGCCTTTGACAAGGTGTTTGCGTCAGGTTTTCGAATTAAACCGAGGGTAAACACTTTTTTCCTTTTATTTTGTCTGTTTACCATGTTGGCAAAAAGACGAAGGACATGCGTCATGGTCAACGTAGTTACCAGCGCTGTTCGATTGAGTGGAGTCTAGTCTACGGTCTTACAAAATGGTTATGTGTATAGGTTAAACCAAAGCATCTATAAATTTTATCGATTAAACTCTACTATCAACGTGAAATTTCGAAATTTTGTGACGATTGTAGCGTTTATGGATAGAAACTTATGAATACCTTAATTTGATAGTCTGTGCGTGTATGTTCGCAAAATACGGAAAATTGCTGTCAGATATTCCATGGATAAGGAGAAAATAGAAAACGTTTTTGAATTCATATATTTCATTCTTTTTTATTGAATATTTCATTATTGATTAGGAGAAATATTAATACAGAAAAAGACTAATCTTGTGTGCACTTCAAAAGTTAACCTTACAATAGAATGAGTGATCCCGTATACAGTCAGTGCAAAAAGCATACTTTTCCCTCTGGATCTCAAGAATCAAAATAGTTAAGAGTAACATCATCAGAAAATCGAGCTTGCTACAATAACCTTCGAAAAATAAATTTTGTTTTAAGTACGATTTTCGGATTCTCGATACAAAGTTATCTGTACATACAAGCGACGGAATAGGTGGAAAAATGCTCAACAACGAGTACCATTAGAATTAGTATATTCATGAAAACTGTTTTAAACATGATTTTCACTTGCATAAAGCCATGTTTCATAATCAATAGGTAAAAGCATGTTAAGAAAGTGATAGGACGAATAGATAGGATATTAATAGTGGAGCGTAGAAAATAAGTGGTAAATAATTCTATTATTGTCTGTCCAAAAAAACAACGGACTCTGCTATTTTTTCAATAACTTTTGATAGAAAGAACCTAGAGAGCTTCGGTTTTCGGCATTCGAAAAAGAGGCTTGCAGGTATGATTCCATACGCGAATATTTTTTGATTTTAGAAAAAGATTTAAAAAACTGGTGAAAAGAAAGTTTTACGAAAATCGGCATTTTCACGTTCTTTTCACATTACATTAAAAAGTTCACCATTCACTCCGCAAACCGAAGAACGAGTTGGAAACATCAGGATATGCTTAGTTTTGTCGATGAAACGTGATGATATGATCGAAAAAACTGAGAAACCATGTTTTGCTTCACGAGTTTTTGGGAAACTTTTCCGAAAAACCATAGGGTTTGGTAAATTATTATTTGTAGATTTTTTATAAATAAAATAAAAAATACTCTAAGTACTTTATATCCTGCTGTCACATCTCTACAAGATGTGATAAAAATCTCTGTGTCTCTATATAATTTTGACATAAAAATAAGCATTTTACTGAAAAAAATTCGTTACTGATTTTTTTCTAATTTGATTTTTCTAGGTAACAAAAATTATTTTTGCAAACCGAAAGAGTATAAGGTTTTGTTCAATCTTTTATGCTGGTTTGAATGGTATATAGTTCAAAAAGCTCCGATTTAATATCATGCCGTTACAGTGAAAAGAAGGAGAAAGATGGAAATTTTCAGTTTTCAAGAAAATTAGTTAGTACTTTTCTTAAAAAATTTATTTCTCAATGATAAAGAGTTTTCAAAGGCTAGAAACTTGGATTTATAGATAACTTTATATCGAGAAACCGAAAATCGTACTTAAAATAAAGTTTATTTTCCAAAGATTTCATGGCTTTTCTCGACGCGCGCACAAGTTGTCTTTTGATGATTTTGAGTCTTGTATGAATGCAGACTTAGTAATATGCTGATCATCTAATCCATGTAAGCCTCTGTTACTAAATGGTGCATGAGAGATAACGGCGTCATTTCTTTTCGGTAGTGCTAATAACTCATAATGCAAAGTGATTGAGAAATTAATCTTTGCATCAAAATTAAGTTATGACTCTTTCTTCTATCTACGGTGTGGATTTAATGAGTTGGTTATTAATAGTTACTAAATGATAAATACAGCAATATTACGACAGCCAGTCAAAATCGAGATTCTTTTCAAAACTACGATCTATGATTTACCCTGGAAACGTTCTTTTATTACTCCAAAGTCAAACATGAATCTACATCGGCCTTTCTGACATGCTTCACCGGCATTTTCAAGTCAAAAGAATGTTTCCGTGCTGTGTTATGAATTGTTTTTGAAAAGAATGTCAAATCTTAAAAACGAAGTACTTTTGTATTGCGAAACAAAGATACTTTGAATTATGAGCTACTAGCATTTTTGTGGAAACAAACGACATCGTTATATCTCACGCACTACCCGGTAGCAGAGGTCCACATTCATGGAACGTTCAGCATATGATTAGGCCTACATTTGCACAAGATCTGGATGATTTTCAAAAATCTAGAGAATAGGATACTTTTGGCATGACATGCACCGGTTGATATTTTTAGCTAGATTGTGGTTGCTCCTATAGCTCATACTTTTGCTCATACATTTGTCTCCTGCAATCCTGTAGCAGGTCTTAAATGAACCAGCTCATGGGTTTTTACGTAACTCGAGTCGGACTACACACCAAGCATAGTGAAATCTTGCTAGCTTTCAAGTCATGTTAAAGTGGATGGACCTGACTGCAAACCCCTTTTCGGGATACCGCTTCGGTACCGACTATTTTAGGGTTAGTAGCCTCAGTAGTATATGCAAACATAGGTTTTCAACTATACTGATTCTCGTGGCGATGTTTGTTTTTCGAAAAAAGTTCAGAAACTTAGTAAAACCTTATACTAGGTGGAATAACCCATTTCTGCCTATATTTTGATAAAATTAGAAAATTCATAACTCGGTCAGAATAGATCCAGACTATGTCAGAATATCAAGATATACTATATTTTATCTGCTCAAAGGGATTCTGCGGATGAGAATAGTATAAAATATTCTCTTACTTCGAAAACCCTTTGAAAAACCTAAATAGTTTATGTTGACTTTTAAAAGTTCGATTGGACTCCATGATATGTTGCAGATAAAACAGAGTATATCTTGATATTCTGACATAGTTTAGATCAATTCTGACTGAGCTATGAATTGTCTAATTTTATCAAAAAAATAGGCAGAAATGGGTTACCTAGTATAAGGTTTCACTAGGTTTTTGAACTATTTTCGAAAAACAAACATCGCCACGAGAATCAGTATAGTTGAAAACCTATGTTTGCATATACTACTGTAGCTCCAAACCCTAAAAATGGTCGGTCCCGAGGCAGCTCAGTTAAATGTCTATAGCTACCAAATGAAAAAAGGCAGAGGCCTTGGACTCGTTTTGTTTTGAAGAGCAGATGTTGCTCTATCTAGGTGTAAATTTAGAACGAAAATTTTATTTAGAATCCTGTTTGTGCCACTGCTGGATATTTTGTGTGAGAGAGTGGACCACCTGAAACCGACGGTTTCAGAGCATTTTTAGGTTGTGCGATAGCCGTATGAATTTACTTCAAAAGGGTGAAAACCAGACCTCTCTAGCTCATTGCGATCAAACGTTATTCAAAAGACATTCGATTCCACTTTGTTTTGAAACAGATAGTAAAAGAGAGGATAGATTAGTGAAATGTTTTGGGGGACTCATTCTCATATCGCACATCTCCAGCCTCACCTTCACAAACAAATTAATTATTTATTAATGATTAAATAACTTGGTTGGTACTGATGAAATAGTGGAGTTAATCGTGTCTGTAGTAGTACCCCTACATCGAGAAACCCTTATAGAGTATTGTAGCGCAGATTACTAACTTTCATTTCCTTTAGTACACGTTTTATTATTTTTAGATCTGAAAGCTGGTGTAGTTCGGAAGGTCAATCACAGTTAGAAATTGGACAAAGAACTTTAAAATAATTCCAAAATACTGCTTTTATTATATTTTACGAATATCTCATGTACTTTTCTAGTGTCTTGTGCAATATGTTAATATCTCCTCCGTTTGACTAATATCTCGAGTTTTTAGATATCTCAGTTTGCGAGATATCGAGCATTACTGCGGGACTGATAGAATAAAACCCCTTGAACCTAAAGAAGATTCGAGATTAGAAAAAAAATGAAAAACTGCTGCGCTTCTGAAAAAATAAGCTTTTTCTCTCCAATAGCTGGTATAATTTTCATGAGCAGCTATCTATTGCGTGAGCTGTATATTATCAGGGTCAAACGTAAACAAAACAAGTGAATAGAATAGCTGATTTCAGCCTACGTAATGATGGTGAGCTGAGTGTTAGTCAATGAGTAAGTGAATGAATAATAAAAGAATATATTATGAGTTATATTTGCCACGTCTTCATATAAAAAAAAGGTGTACATTCATTCTACGCATATGATTAATTTTCTTCTTTCAATCTGTTGTGCAATTTTCTTCTTACAGCATCATTGTGCAATACTACGAACAAGAGTATAAATATCCGAGTGTTGCGCAGCAAAAACGATATTTATTTTCAAGTAATCAAAGTAAATTAACTGATACACGCATAAATCATGAGCCAACCAACAGCAACTGACAATGAGAAGGTAATATCAGTTTGTATCTTAAACATGTGTCAGCAAAAATTGAAGTTTGATATAGGTATTTGGCCACAATGAGCATAAACGTGAACATCGGCTGCAACGTACTGAATTGCGACAACTCTACGCTCATCAATTAAGCTTGATTGAACAGCAATATCCAAACGCGTCATCATCCAAATTGTTGAATCTGTTACGAAGACATGACGGAGATGTTGATAAGGTATATTTAAATTAGATAGTAACAAAAATAACAGCCCGCAGGGTCCTCCGACGCGGGAGAAAAGGAGGTTGTTCGAAGCTAGCACTGACTAGTAGAGCATAAAATGTTTACATGTGTAGACATGCGCGATTGTTGCTTTTTTGTTTTATGGTGAGTTCACTGTTTTTGTTAGGTTTGTGCAATTTTGAAAAAACGTTCATCTCGTCAAACAAAATTTGATCAAATTGAACAAAAATATGGTCCAGAATTAACGAAATTCTTAGAGCAAGAGTCATCACATCTTTTGGGATCAAAGATGCCAAAACGACAACGTTTATTACGCATAATGGAACGATCTCATGGTGATCAGGAACATCTTCAAAAATTCTTGAATAGAATAAATAATCGACATCAAAATAAAGAAGAGGCAAAAGAAAAATATGTCCAGCACGTGACTGAATTAGAGCAAGATGGTCTGGATGTTAAGAGGCCATGTGTTTATCGTTTACTAGAGAAGCATGATGGCGATTTAACAAAGGTAAGATTCGGTTGAAGCAAAATAGCTCGTGTTGTGATTTAATGTGTAGCTAATCCAACTGCCGCTGGTAGCCGGTAGAATGTGTTTAGTAGACGGAAAATAACGCTTTAATAAGGTAGATATATTTGTTGTATCTATGTATGAATAGGTTCGTGCAATAATGCAACATCGTTTAAATAAAAAAACGGATTTGGAAAAATTCGAATTGGAGTATGATCAACAACTGAAACAACTGGAATTAGATGGTGTTCATATCAGGAACAAACGTGCTGTAGTACATCTTCTTCAAAAATCAAATGGTCAATTAGATACAGTTAAAGAATTTTTGTTACAAAAACAACAACGAAAGGAAAAAAAGAAACGTGATTATTCATCGCCAAGAGAAGATGATGAAAAAGAGCACAGACAACAGAAGAAAGCTCGTATGGCTAATATAAGTGTCGATGATTTGGAGTATTTGAAGCAATTGCGCGTAGCAGGTGTCCATGGTAATCCAATAAAAATATTAAAAATATTGCATGAGGAATGTAATGATTCAGTAGAATTAACAATTGAAAAATGTCGACAGCATAAGGATCAACGTAAACATGAGCGTGAAGAACGACTAAAAGTATGTATTTTTAAATTTCAATGATAGATTTGAATCTAACCTCAAAGTTTAACATCTTGTCATTCTTGAGACTGTATTCTGTTCGGATAAAATTTTTTCACATTAGATTAGTGAAATTTTACAAAACTTCTTGTTCTACCTAGGACTTCTATAATCTATGAAGCTTTACTCGAGCTTTCTGATATTCTATGCATAACTATGAGCTCAAAAGAGTATAGTCTTAGCCCCTATCGTACACCTTATCCTCGCTTTAGCCTTGAATAGTATACTTCGATCTTGTGAATCATTCGTTTGACCTCGTGTAGATCTCTAGAGGACTGTCTATAAACCACTAAGAAACAGCACTGATAGTTGTGAGTTTCGTGTATAAATTTAGTAATTGAACTTTACTAAATTCAGAAACGTGAATTATTGAATGAAACGCAACAAGCTTATTTGTCCATTATATCCAAAGAAGATTGGCCATCAAATATAGATCAAGTTTATCTAGATGGAAATAATATGATGTTTGTTATTGATTCATTACGCCGTTTATGTTTAAATCGTCAAGGAAAAAAAACAGAAAATATAATTGGACAAATAGCTTCGGCATGGAATGAGAAATTACAAATTCCACACGTTAATCTAATATACGATTCAACAAATCAAGTAGAAACGATTGGTACTGTCAATATACAAAGTGCACGACCAAAATACAAAACAACAGATGATATGCTAATTGATTTAGCTAAACAGAATCATGGCAAAAATGAACATACAATTGTTGTAACAGCTGATCGCGCTTTAGCTGTCCAAGTAAGCAAAACGATTCATTTAGAGAGTTCTATATTCCTAGTGTTTTATGTATCTTTAGTTGAACAGTGAAGGTTGCAAACTGGTTAAACCGTATCACTGGTTTGCGCATTGTGTTATGCTATTGACACCTGATCTTATTAAACAAGATCCAACTGAAAGCAATACACATGTAGATACAGCAATGAGAAAACGTCGAGATAATAAAAAAGAAAAAATACATTATGATTTTGATGAATTACTTAAACGTGTGGCAAATATTGATATATAAAACGGAAAAGACTCTAGTTTTTAATTTGTAATTTTAAGTATTTAATCAAGAAAATGTTTTTTCGATGAGTTCAACAAATGTGTTAAAAAATAAATTGAATGCGAAATGAAATAATGCACCTTTACTCTGTTAGTCTGACAAGGGATTTTGTCAAAGAATACTGTAGAGATGATAAGTTTTCTGCCCGAATCTGCCACAAGAAAAAAAATTTTATTTTCTTCAGCCATAAAGTTTTCGAAGAATATAGCTTTGTAAATATAATCTCAGTCGGGAACTCTTTCTAAATAACTGTATCGTCACACCAATGCCATTGCTAAAACTTTTTATGACACAAAGTTACTTCCCGATCAAAAACCAAATCCAAAAATACTTTCAGTGACACCAGGAAATAGAGCAAACATTTCTGATCAAAATGAGATATCTCCTAGCTCTAAAGGATGTTCTGATCAAGAGTTATGCGATTTTCCTGAAAGCCCTAAAACACGCATTAGATACTCGCGTCACCATATCTCGAACGCGACTATCATATGAACGCCGTATCGTAGCTGCAAGATTTCTCGGTCACGAAACATCGCAGAAAGCTCAGGAAGATTTTAAATTGAAGCTGACACAAGTAGCCAGAGGTTAACAGAGCTCAATTTTTGTGTTCGAACTTATACTTTAGAGAGAGCTTTCTGACGCGGGGTAGGGCTTAAAGCAGAAATAACATTAAGCAAAATTTCGCTCCTTTTCATTTTTTGTTGTTGCATGAACATTCAACAATCTGATAAATTATACCTCTTTGTAATTTCGATAGGACGCGAAATTAAATAAGCTCGGAAAAAACGAGATATTTGAGTTCGGTGTGTTTAATTGACTTTAAAATGAAAGAAATGAGCTCAATTGTAATAAAATTATATTTTATTTATATAAATAAGACTTTTGTGTTGGAAAATTAATTTATACTCTGAAAAGATATAAATGAGCTCGGCTTATTTTATTTTTGTAGATAAATAGAGAGAAATGAGTTCGGTAATTAATTTATGAAAATTAGTTAATGATTTTATCAATGGCAAAGTATATTTAATCAGAAAAAATAGTTCAAAAACAACAAAAAGTGCTAGATTAAAATATTTTTTCACTAATATTCAGTTCTGTACTAATCTTCTCAATTAAATGTGTCCTTTCATAATGTTTCGTCGAACTATACTTTGGTCGAATATACTTTGCCATTGATAAAATCATTAATTAATTTTCATAAATTAATTACCGAACTCATTTCTCTCTATTTATCTACAAAAATAAAATAAGCCGAGCTCATTTATATCTTTTCAGAGTATAAATTAATTTTCCAACACAAAAGTCTTATTTACATAAATAAAATATAATTTCATTACAATTGAGCTCATTTCTCTCATTTTAAAGCCAATTAAACACACCGACCTCAACTCTCTTTTAGTATATTTTATTCATTACGATATCTGAATTGTCTTTCCACAGAAGCACCGATAAAAAAAAATTAAAGTTTGTTTAGAGTTAAAGAAAAGTGCTTTTGCGTATTCAGCACACTTGATAACCTGGAAAATTTTCTATTTTTAGCGAGAGGCACCGCTAAAAAGTTAAGAAAAACTTTCAAACAAAGTGACGCAGAAAAATCTCCATGGCAAAATTATACAATTTTGAAAATTTTTCTTAACTTTTTGGCGGTACCCCTCGCTAAAAATAGAAAATTTTCCAGGTTATCAAGTGTGCTGAATACGAAAAAGCACTTTTCGTTAACTCTAAATGAACTTTAATTTTTTGTCGGTGATATGATTTATTCTAAAAACAGTCACGATCGTTCTATTTTGAAAGAAATAGTTCAGGTTGAGTTTATAACGTATGTAATGCAGACGTCAGTAGAATTGTAATTTTATCAACACTCCTTATGCTTGTGTCATCATTACCATCAGGACAAAGATATATTTTTATTCGTCGAGAAACTATATCCCTGAGCTTTAGTTAATCTCCTTTTCTTTCGTTCACTTTTTGATCAATGTTCTTTCTGGATAACTATATACCTTAAGGCAAAATGTACGATCACATTAAGTAGATGTTCTGAATTATTTTGTTTATTCGATTATCATCGGAAATTTTTCTTTTTCCATTTTCTTTGATCTTAACGGCTCTTGAATGAACTGTTCTAATATTCTCTAGAGAAATGATTTGTCAAGTAAATTTTTTATCAAGTTTAACGTTTTCTTTTGACACATTAGTATTAGTTTTGTGTGCAGTTTCCATTGCTTGTAAGCCTGAGTAATGAAAGTTACATTTTTATAACTGCGGAAGCTTAGTAATTAGACAAAAAATGCCATAATAAGTACGATACTTCTTGTATACAAATTACAGAAGTAAGAAGACTAATTGTAGGTTTTTCAGAGAAATATCAAAGATTAACTTCATGTAGTGACCGTGATGTCCCAAATGGCATCCCTCTCGGTAGACCATGCATCGTATTGACACTCTGCTCTGCGGTTCATGATATGTGAATACGTAAACAAGTAGTTTCTAGAGATTCTTTTTATGCTAGAGTGCTTTCCAAATCTTTTAATACTACTATTTCTTGTACACAATTCAGTAAAAAGAAACTGTACCAGGTAAAATGGCATCATTTATACAGATCACATAGATGGGGTTTATAATTACCCCCACTACCCATATATTTCTCCTTGGAAGGCATTCATAACAGAAATTCGTCACTTGGACACAAAAAATTGTCTTTTTAAACATATCGTCGGGATAAACGTTCCTCATCAAACCCATAATTGAAATATTTCCAGAAACGCAAAACTACCTGAGAAATCAGTACGATATATTAGATATTTAATTTTTATGAGCTATTAGGGTATTTTTGTAGTCTCTTCGTAGATGATTGGTCGGTATCGCATTTAAAGCCTTTAACGAGGAACGAAATCAGAATACAAATAAGTAGTTTCATATTCAGGATACTATTCAATATGTCTAACGTTTTTTGTGGAAAGACCGCAGTCGTGTTTCTAACTGGGATATTGAACGTGCATTGAGAGTAATTTGCCTTGGCATTGCAATTTAGTTTATTTTTGATAACAGACAGCTATGCAAGTCATCTCATTTTTCATTATCATTCCGATATTGCTAGTCATTTTCGATATTTGATCTGATTGCTAAGAAAAGTTACTATCGACGGAATATTTCAGCTGCTTAATTATTACCATCTTGCTATAGATTATGTTAAAAGAAACACTAATGCCGTCTTTTCATCATAATTGTCTTCAACCATCTAAAGTTATTTTCTTTTTCTTTCTGTTCTTTACATAATAATACTTAATTAGATACTCTGCTTAACAATATAGGACAAAATAGTCAAATTAGCGACACTATGTATTCTCATCAGATACAAACTTCAAAATAATATAGTTTAGAGACATAAACGAATATTCCGCTGTTATAATAACTATAAAATACTATATGTCTTCTTAGGCCATGGAATATCCTGCATATAATAATCATTTCGAACCGTACAATGTTACTCTATCGTTATGTTTGCAGCAGCGATATCGTCTCGTTATCAAATTGTTAAGTATTTATGCTTTATGTCTCGTTATTATAAACGGAAAACTTTTTGTCTCTTCCGTCCGGGCACGCTGGCTTAAACCTATTCGTTTGGAAACGTCCAAAACACCTTGAAAACCTTGCTTTTAGAAAATCTTTCGGCATTTGCAACGAATGAAGTCTGCTATACGCCTTTCCATTTCTCAAGGTTTTATTTTCTTGGATCCTTAAAAGGTAACTAAAAAGAATGGTAAAGAGGTTATACCAAGTCATAAGCGTATACTTGTTCTGGTACCCGATCAATTCTTAAAATAGTAGTTCTACCAACTATTTCTTACATAAATAAAGAAGAGAAAAATGAAGTACAAAATCAAAGTGTACGAAGAAAATAATTCTTCATCATCGAGGATAAAACACTGATTTTCAGACACATGCGCTCAAAGTATACAGTCCATAATCGTACGGTACTGGCAACGGTAGAATGTTCTCGGTTTAACTATCCATCAAAATCCAGTAGTGTAGAAATCGAAAATTCACTTTAGCTTTTTAAAAGTTCAAAAAAATCAATTCAACTTTTAGAATGAGAAAACCCATATTTCCTACTTTAGGATATTCTTTTCAACGTTTCAATTTTTCTACCTTTGACGTCACGTTTTCAGAAACGCAACGCTTTTTGTATCTCTACAGGATAAATATACACAAACAGCGTTTCAACCTATAATAACCTCGTGCATTCACTTTCAGCAAACCCACCCGCGCCCAACTACCACAACTTTATCTTACAAAACAGTTGTAAAACAACTGAAGCTAAAATTTGAAATCATACACTGTTTTATTGCAGAAAATTTTTAGCTTTTTAAAAGATAGAGCTAATCTTGAAGGTTTACACTAAAAAATTTACACACGTATGAATTAGAGCCGTTAATCTTGTTATACTATAGCTATGCAACAAATATTTTGATAGCTGAAACTAAAATTCGAAACAAGTGAAAGAAGAAATATGAAACGATTACGGCGACGACAGCAGACAAAAAAAGTCTGTTTGTTGGAATTTTCAATGATCATTAGCTTCAATTATTAGCTTTTACACATAATTTGGTTAGTTAATGTATAAATCGCACCTGGCTCAAGGAAGAAAGATGAACGAATGATTGTCTTATTAGCAACAAAAACGGATCAACACTAGCAAAAATCTGCGAAAGAGAGAAAGTCCGTGGAATATAATTTTGCAACAGGGTTGGAACAGAAAAATGGACTGTCCCACGTTTAAAGGAATGCGCCACATCCGCAAATTAAGACCACATGCTACTACAGGCGAAGGAAAGTACTTTTCAAAATTAATGTTCTTTAAATACGACTTTTGTTCTTGAGTAAAATTTATTGTACGAGGCTGCGGACAGTACTTTTTTAGCGTGGTAGAATTTTTTTTTGAGTAAAGTGGAATTATAAAC